ACAATAAATCTATTCAGTACCTCCAACTTTCCTCCTGCCCTTTGGGATCCCTCCCTCTCTGAATTATTCCCTGGGAGGGACACATGGGTGGCTGAAAGTCAGTAGACTCCCAGAAATAGGCAATACTTCCTTAGGAACTTGTGCTGCTACTGTGGGTTCTGCAAATGCCAGGTTGGGGAAGACTCCTCCCGGTCAAACCGGGCCTTCCTTCAGCACTCATCTTGAGAAACTCCTCCTCCAGGAGGCCTGCTGTGGCTGCCTCTCTGTGCCTGTGCCCCGTCCTTCATTGGAGAGTGCTTGTGTCTTTCTCCTTTGCTCCCAGCGACCTGTGAGCCCCATCAGGATAGAGATCCCCTGAGACTCAGAGTGAGGACTCAAGAAATATTTGTGTCGAATGAATGCATGAACTATGTGACATAAGAGATGCGTGAAGGTGAATGAGGTGAATGTACAGTGTTTCCCAGGTGACATAATGCTGTTATGTTAAGATGGTGTCTCTTTAAAGACCATGTGACCCAGGAAAGGTTGAAGTGGTAGGAAAACTCAGAAACACATGTGGGGCTGTCAGTGCACTCTTGGAGGGGTCCAGGACTCTGTTCCAGGATGAAACCCTTCCCCAAAAATCTCCCCTTTTTTTGGTTTTTCTCTGGTACCAGGAGTCGAACTCACGACCTGGCACTTGCCAGGCAGGCGCTGTGCCGCTGAGCTAAATCCCCAGCCCCTCCCCAAAAATCTCATTCCTCCCTCTCCTCTCCACTCCCCATCTCCATTCCCAGCCCCAGCCCCAAGATGTGTGCACGGAACCCCAAGCTGAGTTGACCCCAGCAGCTGGGGATGCGGTTCACTAGGGGGCATTCTTCCATCATACTGGCCCTGTCTCCAACAGGCACAGAATCTTTCCCTGGGCTCTTTCCTACTGGACTGCAAACCCAGGGCTGCCCCACATTCCCTGCCATCTTTAGCCAGAGCAGAGGATCTCTCCAGGGAGCGGTGGCATAGCCACTAAATCAGTGTGCACAGTATAAGGCATTTTGGCAGAAAAGGCAGGTGCCAGGGACTAAACTGATATTTTCAGTTGATGTGCCTTTGGCCATTGGTCCAGAGTAATCAGTTCTTAGATCTCCTCCCAGCCCCTTCCCCAGCAGGATGGCTGCCCAGGCAGGAATAAACCGAAGGGTGTCCTCCTGCCTTTCTCCATTTACTCACCAAGGTCCATGCAGGACTAGGAGACATGGACATTCTGGGCACTTAGAGACCCCAGAGAAAAGGGGAGGAAATGGGGATGGGGCTTGACTCCCTCCATATTCTGTGACTTTACCATGGGCAAGAATCATCCCAGTCCCGGGCCTGCAAGGCACCAGAAGCAAAGGGCCACAGACAAAGGCCGGAGGTCGAAGGGTAGGCTCAGTTTCCTTCATTTTTAAGAGAAGCATCCTCCTACTTCAACCACTGTGGGACCTCACTTCACAAACGCTCTAACTGTGGAGGACTTAACATCCAAAGACACAGGTCCTGTGAGGCAATCTGTGCCTGATAGATATTCCAGTTTTGAGCCCCGGGAGTGAAAAGGAAAAGGGGCAGCTGTGGAAGCAAGGGCTTGGGAGATTAAAACTGGAGGCAGTTGAGCCTGGTGTGGTGGCGCATGCCTGTGATCCTGGCACTCAGGAGGCTGAGACAGGAAGATCGCTGTGAGTTCAAGGCCAGCCTAGGCTACATAAGAGAGTTCAGAGCCAGCTGAACTACATAGTGAGACCTTGTTGCAAAAAAAAAAAAAAAAAAAAAAAAAAAGCAGTTGTGAAGGGATGGGTAGAGAAGGGTGTGAAGGGGGAACAGGGGTTCTTGCAGAAAGACAAAGAAGGCATTTGCTTGACTCTGTTCTGCTCTTAGAACTGGAGCACAGGCACTTTCATCCCAGTGTCCAGATTCTTCCTGGGATTTGCTTCCTGCCCCAGATTTTGGCAGGTTTCCTGCTCCCATAAGCTGTCAAAAAGGAGGCTGGAAGGTGGAATTTCACAACCAAAAGGCAGTCTTGCTTTGATGTTGCCACCTGGGCCTTGGGGCCCCTCCTCCTCCAGTCATCTGCGTGGAAGGTGAGGGGGACCATTGCTTTTCCAGCCTAGGGCTGTGGGAGGGAAGGGGTCCACTAAGAACCCTTCATATTCCAGCCTGAGACGCAGCTGTGTGCCAGGCTGAGGCCATGTCACGGGCACAGGCCCAGACACAGGCCAAAGAGGGATGAGGGTGTGGGTGTCTATCTCTTGCTAAGCCCTGTGCACACCTATGATGCAACCACACCCGTGAGCTGCACACTCCAGAGCAAAAGCCTGCAGCCTGGCTTAGTCTGAGAACTGGGTCACTTCTGCATCTTTCCTGGGCAGGATTCCAGAAACAGTCAGCCACACTGTCATCTGGGAAGAAGCACTACCTGGGGGTGGGGGGGCGTAGATAAGAGAGAGGGAGCAAGATTGGCTGAGAAAGACAAAGGTAAGAGGGAGAAATCCCTCGCTCCGCTGTCCACAAGGATTGACAGGCAAGCCGGCTGGCCAGCCAAGCGCCCACTGTGTACACAGCTCCCTCCGCTTGCTTCACAGCGCTCACCCTCTCACCGAGCCACCCTGCAAGCCAGGTGTGGCTGCAGCTGGGCAGGCTCTGCTGAGACCCCTGGCTTTGTCCTCCTTTCTTTCCCAGATGGAAGAAAAAAAGAAAAGTGTGTGTAAATTTCCTATTCGGTTTGGAATGCCACTCCCTTCACCAGCCCTTTAAAGAGCTGTCGCCACAGCAAGTGTGAATCTGGGTTCAAAAAATCTGCAGAATTTTCCCCATTTACTCAACCGAATCGCCCTCCACTCGGACTCTTCCTAAGTGGATGTCAGTTCTGCCCCCCTTGGATGCAGAGATGAGCGGTCAAGGGGCCTGACTTGCCAGCAGCAGGCTTGCCTACCCTAAGATGTACCTCTGTGACCCTGGCTGCCTTGCACAGACCCGGTTCTGCAACCATCTGGAGAATGTCTAAGCTTTTTCTTAGGTGTCCCTGTGAAGGCCCCTGAAAAACAGGCTGCACCGTGTGGCCTTTCCCCTGATTTTGCAACCAGAGTGCACAAGCCTACACCCACTCTCATACCTCTACCAAGTGTTTCCAAGAAGAACGCTGCCCATAAGGTGAGGCCATCTGGGAACTTCTCTCTTCCTCTTCATTCATGACATTCCTACCTACCACGGCTAGTTACACTAACATTGGTATCCAGTCCACAGCTTTTCCTTGTAAGGTGGCCTCTTGGCTTGGCCCAGAGGACCCATTTTCTCATTTGTATCAGGTTCAATCACTATTTGAAATGCAATATGTGGTTTCCAAGTAAACCACATGCACACACATACACACACTTTTAGGAGGCCTTTATTAAAAATTAACAATGTCCCTGGCCATTAAGTGTGCAGAGTTTCCTTGCCCCTGGCTGCCTCCAGCAAATTTAGGAACTGCAAACTCCAGGCTGAGAAGAGGAAGAAAGTACAGTGGGGGCAGAAATCAGCCGCGATTCCCCGGATGGAAGGAACCTGAGCATCCGCTCCCATCTCTGCCCCAAGATCTGCGAAGAGGCCCTGCACGGCCAGGTCTCAGGAGGGGTACAGAGAGCAGTGAGGGCGGCGTGGTGGGGCTGTGTCTGAACCGACATCCACTTAGGAAGAGTCGGAGTGGAGGGTGATTCGGTTGAGTAAGTGGGGAAAATTCTGCAGATTTTTCGAACCCAGATTCACACTTGCAGCGGCAACAGCTCTTTAAAGTGCTGGCGAAAGTGTTTGTAAACAATAAAAACGCAATTCAAAGGTTGCCGCTGGGGTGAAAACCCAGGGGGTTAGGGAAGAGGTTCCGCAGCTCTTCACGGGGGAGGGTGCGAGGAGAGCGGCTGTGGACGTCCTTGCAGTCGTTCACCCGGTCCCTCGCGCAGCAAGACCGGACGCGCGGTGCTCAGCGTAGGCGCCGTGCCGCCTAGTTTTAGGGACCACAGGTGAGAGCGAGGCAGGTATGGGGAGGGACGGCAGTCAGGGGCTGAGCTGGATTAAATCGTCCCCAGAGGCTCCGATGGAGAGTGGGGGAGGGGGCACCGCGCGACCGTGGGCCCCCGGGCCGGGGACCGAGCGTGAGCCGGTCCAGTGCCACCAGCGCCGCCTCCCGGAGAAAGGCGGCGGCCAGAGGGGGAGTGAGAGGAGGCGGAGGGCGGAGGAGGGCGGCGCGCCGAGAGGTTATTTGTGGTTCGCTTTGATCCCGAGGGGGAACCTGAAACTCTCACATTCCTGGCATAGCTGCCGCCTCCACCGCGGACCGACCCAGAGGCTGCGCGCTCCGGCGCGAGCAGCCAGAGCGTCGGCGCCGCTGCCGAGTGCGCACCTCCGCCGCCGAGCAGAGCCGGGCGAGCCGGGCTGGGACGTCCGGGCTGAGCGCGCCAGGCACCCGCGGCCCGCACGGTAGGCAAAGCCGCCTCGAGAGCCTGGGTACCCGCGCCCGGCCCCCTCTCGGAGCCGGAGCACGGCCCGCGCGTTCTTCCTTCTGGGTGCAGTGTGCGCTTTCGAGGCGGCGGCTGCGCGAGGCGAGGGCCGCTCGCCCAGGAAGCGCTGCACGGCGCGCTTGGGGCTGGGGTCTGGAAGGCTCTCGGATCCCCCGGGGCTGGAGGAGGGGACACATTTGGAGAGCGCAGGGAGGTTTCGGCTGGTGGGTCGAACTTGGGAGGCGTGGACCGCGGCTGCAAGCGCCTCGTGGGGTTCAGGCTGTAGGGCCCTCGTGGTTGATTTGGCAAAGCAGGGGGCACAGGTGTCTTGTGTCCCCCAGTGGCCCAAGAATTCCTCTTTGTCTTCCTTGGAAAATCCTTTCTGGAGCCACGAACTGGCTCTCACTTAGAAAGAATGCAGCCTGCTGTCCAGTCCGGTGACGTCAGCGCTGGAGTATTTGGAAAACAAAGAGGGCTGGGAGGGAGCGAGGGAGGTGGACCCGCGACGCTTAAAGACCTCTCTCGGCTGCGGGCTACCCTCGCCAGCTCGTCCGTTGTGTACTGGCGTCTGCCGGGGCTCGGATCCTCCCCGGATCGAGGCAGGGCTGGACCCTTGGCCGGTGCGATCTGATTTGGACACTAGCTGTGGTTCTTTCGGCGAGCGCGAGCCCAGGCGAGGCTGGAGGTGCGCGCTTGCTCGGCAAGGTGGCTTTCAGAGGGCGCAGCGCGCTACCTCGGTAGAGGCGCACTGCTCTGGTAAGGGAAACCGAGTTTAGTAACGGCTCAGACCTTCGGTATCAGAAAGATTGTGGATTTCTGGGGTTTGACTGGGACAAATTTGAGATGAGAGGCCTTGGGGATGTGCCTGCCTCCCAGTCCTGGCACACTGTTGGCGCGCCTGGAATCTCCGGAAGGTTCTGCATTCCTTCTCGCCGCTCCCGGATCCTCCTCAGCAGGAGTCAGCCCAGACAGTGATTAAACTAGGAAATGCCCCGCAGATGAAACTCGGTGCGAGTTGACTCCTGGTTGCTTGTTTTGTCCCTGCTACGGGAGTATTGGGGGTGGGGACGATGATCGGGTGCAGGCTCACCCCCCTACCTCCCCCCCCCCCCCCCCTTCTCATGAGACGATATCCATGGCTCGCCCCCCCCCCCCCCGATCTGGGCAGCCGAAGGCCTGGGAGTGGCGGAGAAGATTGGGAATGGCTGCTATGCTAACGTGCCAAGCCCAAACTGAGGCAGGGCACCAGGGCTGGTTTTGCGGCAGAGGAGAGGCCACATTCCCCTCTCCCTCCGCCTCCCTTACACACAGGGCCTGTTGCAGCACGGATTTTGTTTGTTTTTCCCTGGATCTCGGTGTAGAGGTTTGTGTTGGAGGAGGCCGTGGAAAGGAAGCTGGCAGGCAGCTTCCTGGCCATGAGCCTTTGGGAGCCCAGGCAGAGAAGGGAACTATTTGCTTGGGTACTGTCCCCAAACCTTAGGCCCACAGTTGCTGACCTTCAGACCTGTAAGGCTGTTACTGCTGCCAAGAGCCCTACTGAGTGTCCACCCTGCATGCTCTTAGGGGTCTTTTCCAGGCTGCAAGTGTGTGCAGAGAGGGATAATCATAGCGAGGGCGACACGCCTTTCTTTCTTCGCCCTGGCTCTCTTGCCATTTCTGTGAGCCCTCACTAGGTGGCTGGCCTGCAAACCGTTTTTGCCTCATCTCACAAACCATTGTCCTGTTGTATAGGGCCTTGCTTGTTTTCATTCTTTTCGCCAATTCAGATGCAGTTTCTCCCTTTCCTTGTTCACTTTGCGCAGTGACTGCCAAGGTCACCCATGACAAGGAGGGCCAGGTTCATTTTATCAGCAGCCTTTGGTGAAGCGGGGCCCAGGCTGTCCTCTAGGAGTTCTCTGGCTCAGGAAGAGTAGGGGAAGCCTGTGGATGGCTCATGGGGGTAGCACTGTGGCCACAAGGCATCTTCATTCTAGAGGGAGCTGGGAATTGTTTGCCCAGGCTCCTGTGGGATTAGTTCATTCTTTATCACGCGGTTAATTCATTCTTTAAATGGGGACTCTGTTGATTTCTGGTCTGTACAGCTACGTGGTTAGATCTGAGCTAAGCTGGCCATGGAGTCATCCATGAGGATGTGCGCCGGGTGGCTACTTCAGGGGGCTGTGGTTTCTGTTAGATTACTTTCTGGTTTGCTGTCAGATTTCTCGAGGATTAGTAACTCTCGGTAAATGTCATTACAATGGTAATCATTTGCCAAGGATTTACAGTGTACCAGGAGCTCAATAGTTGTTGTCTCTTTTAAAGCCCAACCATGTGGCAAGCAGTATTCTTTTTTTTTTTTTTAATGGAGAAACTGAGGGTTGGAGGTTAGGTAATTTGCTTGAGTAGTGGGGGCAACATTAGCAGTTGAACCCGGGCTTGTGTGAAACGCACCTACCGCAGCCTTCCTCTGTACATTATGCTTGCAACCAGACTGTAATGGAAGGTTGTCCCCTTTCTCATGTGCTTCCACTAATTTCTCTCCCCACCCTCCGTCCAGGTGCTCTGGGTCCAGGTGCCTGCTGGCCACTGTCTAGGAAGGTGTGTGCAAGCCAGAGAAGCATGAGGACGCTGGAAGACTCCTCAGGGACAGTCCTGCACCGCCTCATCCAGGAGCAGCTGCGCTATGGCAACCTGACAGAGACGCGCACACTGCTAGCCATCCAGCAGCAGGCCCTGCGGGGTGGGGCTGGCGCTGGGGGCACGGGGAGCCCCCAGACCTCCCTGGAAATCTTGGCACCCGAGGACAATCAGGTGCTACAGCAGGCCACCAGGCAGGAGCCCCAGGGCCAGGAGCACCAGGGTGGTGAGACCCACCTGGCAGAGAACACCCTCTACCGGCTGTGCCCACAGCCCAGCAAGGGTGAGGAGCTGCCTACCTATGAGGAGGCCAAAGCCCACTCGCAGTACTATGCAGCCCAGCACGCAGGGCCACGGCCACACGTTGCAGAACGGGACCCTCGTGGGGCCCCAGGAGGCAGCCACCGGCAGGATGAAGCCCTGCGGGAGCTGAGGCACGGGCATGTGCGCTCGCTGAGTGAACGGCTCCTGCAGCTGTCCTTGGAGAGGAACGGTGCCCGCGTCCCCAACCACATGAGCTCCTCTCACAGCTTCCCACAGCTGGCTCGCAGCCAGCAGGGCCCTCCACTCCGGGGTCCTCCTGCTGAGGCCCCAGAGTCCCGTGGACCCCCACCACAGTACCCACACGTTGTCCTGCCTCATGAGACCGCTGCTGTTGCTGACCCAAGGTACCGCACCCGAGGCAGCCCGCACTTCCAGCATGCTGAAGTCAGGTAACTGCACCCACCGTGGCCTTTCAAGCTCTGGCTTGCTTCCAGTGTAGTCTCCTCCCCTGGCAAGGAGTTCGAGCTGACAAGATCCCTAGCCCGCTTCACCGCTACCAGCTCGAGGTTGCCTGATATAACCCCCTCTTCCTTGAAGGGAGAGGATGTAACCAAGGTCACATAGGAAGTTAACACCATTGCTTTGGCTCACAGACACTACTGTCCGCTTAGCAGGAGCAGCAAGTAACTAGGGTTCCCAGGAGATCGGAATTGTAGCAAGGGTTGGGGGCAAGACTGTGGAAGAACCTCCAGAAGACAAAGAATGAGAGTCACTGCCATGTTGTTCCCAAGTAGAAAGAAGATGCATGGCCTCCCTGGAGGTTTTGTTTGTGTTTCAGTGGACAACGGGGAGAGGTAGTCCCAATGGGACCAGAAGAACCAGGGGTTCACCCTAGAAACCGCTCTGTCAGGGCTGTTCTGTCACTACTGTTCATTTCCTTTCCTGCTTTTCCACGTGCCTATAGCTCGTAGTGGGAGAGGAGGCTGGGTCCAGATGAGCTCCCTTTTGTGGAGGCTCAGGAGAGGGTGTTAGTCTGATTCTTGAGTGTGAAGGGAAGCCCTGAGAGGACATGATCTGATTAAACTTCAACAGGTGAACACAAGGGTAACACATGGCTGCATGCAGAGAAAGGGAGCATAAGGGCCAGAATGGAAGTGAGGGGCCCAGAGGCGGGAAAGCAGAACATTTCAGACATGAGGCTTCCTGGATGAGGCTGTGCCTCAGGCATCCCACCGGGCTCAGCACCTTCTCCAGAGAGGCAGACACATCCATCACTGTTGCATCTTCCATTGGGGGTGTCCAGGGAACCCTGCCAGAGTGGGTCATGGATTTATGAACTCCCTGTGGTGGCTCAGGGTCAAAGTCTGATTCTCTTCTCGCGCTGAGTCTCCATTTAGTCATTCACTTTCCCACCGTTCGGCCTTTTCTGGGGAAGATGCCTGTCCTTGCTCTCGAGAAATGAGTCAGTAGCATGACAGCGCTGGTGTGCAAGAACCCTGGAGTGAAGTCTCGTGGGCTTGCTCCAGCTCCAGGCCCTCCGGATTCCCACCTCATCTCTCTGCTCAGGGCTGGCCAGGAAGAGTTTGGGAAGCTGAGTCGAGGTTTCTTCTTTGGGACCAGTCAGGAAGTGATAACATCATAGCAGGGAAGCAGCCTGTTTTAAGGAGAACAAAAAGGGAAGGGGGAACAAGGGAAAGGGAAAGCAAGTGTGGCGGGGAAGGAGACTCTGTTCTTTCCTGCAGCTCAGTCATCCCCAGAGAATGCTGCTGTGTCCGCCGGGCCCATGCAGGGGCAGCAGGTTTCAGAAGCTACCCTGGGAATGGCCACATTAGCAGAGACAGCAGTTGGGCCATTCCACAGGCACAGAGCCCTGCCCAGCTGTCACTGGAAGCTTTACTTTAGGTAGCAGGGAAACGCACCTGCTGTTCTCCTTTCGGCTGACCAATGAGACTGTTGGGCGCTGGGGACAGGGACTTGAGCTTAGGATCCTCAAAAGAGCAGAGGGAGGCCTAGGCTACAAGATATGGGTGCGGAGCAGATGGACTCAGGAGTGGAATTGTTTTCATGGGTTTCTAAAGCTTGAAAAGTTTCTTCCTGAAATGGAAGCAGTTGTGACATTTGGAGTCACAAGACCCTTTGACTCCCCATGCCTCTTCAGCACAGAACCCTGAGGGTGATGGCATGCCTGTACCATGAACCAGCAAAACCCTGCCCCTTGATCTCTGCAGCATGTTAATCAAAAGGCAGCCCTCATACTGTACACTTAGAGCAGGCCCAGGTCCCTCCTGGGAGAGCTGGGTGACCCGCCATTAAGGGAGTGCCCTCTGTGTCTCCACATCCACCAGCCCTTACCTGGGAGGTGGGAGACCCCTCTTGATACAGCAGGGGAATGGCCTCACTGGGCGTGAGGCATCTGCCTGAGGTCTAACAGCGGGAGCTGGGATCTGAACCTTATGTGTCACACTCTTACCTGTCTTACTGCCGTCACCTTAGCCACAGCCCTCTAGGAATGTCTTGGGAGTTGAGAGGATGGGTACCAAGACCTGGAGGGAGGGAGAAAACTTGAATGTGCTTCTTCAGTGAACCTGAAACTGAGGACTTGTGACAGACACAAGGCAGCTGCTGGACCCAGCCACCCAATTGCCCTGGAGCCTTGGGAGACTATTGGTTTAGTTATAATCCATTAGCTTCTAGAACTAAAAAGAAACTTTTATTGATTAGAAAGCTCAAGGGTGCATTTTAAAAAATGCCTCAGTGAAGCAGTAGTTCTTGTGAGGCCTAGGATGGCTTGGGGGGATCCCCAAGGCCTCAGCCCTAGTGAGGCAGCGCAGGACACCTTGACGTTCATCCCCTCCAACCCTGGGGAGTCTTGGGCAGCCACCGTTTGGGAAGGGGCCTTCGCACTGGTCACTGTCTTAATACTAGAGAGGCGGAAACTGGTGTTAACAGTTTATTAATATTAGTCGTGGGGGTCCGTGAGCTCTGAGTGTCCTGTCTTCTGTTTGCCAGGATCCTGCAGGCCCAGGTGCCTCCTGTGTTCCTCCAGCAGCAGCAGCAGTACCAGTACCTGCAGCAGCCCCAGGAGCACACTCTCCCCCCACATCCGGCAGTTCTCAGTCATGGCCCTCTGGGAGTGGAGGGACCCGCAAGTGCCCAGGCCTCCTTGGCCACCGTAGGGAGTGCCCACCTGACCCAGATGGAGGCTGTGTTGAGAGAGAATGCCAGGCTGCAGAGGGACAATGAGAGGCTGCAGAGGGAGCTGGAGAGCTCGGCAGAAAAAGGGAGCCGCATTGAAAAGGTAGGCTTGCTGGGGTCGAAGACAGGGTGGGGAGGCACAGGAGTCTGAGAGCCGGCATCTGGTTGGATTTCTCTCTCTGGCCTCCACCCGCTTCACTCCTCGTGCGCCTCCCCAGCTGACTCGAGACAGCTGGGGAACAGCCGAGAGGCCTCCAGCGCGGGCCTAGAGCATGAGCAGTTGCTGGCCAGTGGTGGTTAGAAAGAGCTCATTCACCAGCTCCCTGCTCACTCACACCCTGGCCCTGCACACAGTCCCTCCCTTGGACACCTCCCACAGAGAGCTCTTTGTGTCCCCCACACAACAGCCAGTCTGTTCCAGGCCAAAGAGAAAGTCCCTCCTCTTGGAAAAAAAAGGCACTTGTTGGCATGGCAAGCCAGCTAGGAGCACGTGTGGGGCCCGCGGCAGCCAAGTGGGACGGGCGGTTGGGGCCAGGGTGGCCCTCTGCGTGGTCAGTGGCAGAGCGGGAAACAGAGACTGCAGACAGAGCAGCTCAGGCCCAGGGCTGGTGCCTCTTTCTTGAGTGAAGGCTTACAGTTGTGAGCTGAGGTTAAGCTTTAGCATATAGCCTCGGGCCTGCCTGTCATGTTGGGCATGGATCGGACCATCCAGAACACACTCACCCTGGCCCTCTTGTGCTCAGATTTCTCGGCAGACCAGCCAACAGTAAAATGCTGCTTTCTGCACAATGGCCACAGCAAAGCTGTATTTAGTTGCCCTGAAGGCAGGCCCTTGCTGAGTTCCTGGCCAGGGCACAGTCAGCATCTGGTCCTTTGGGCAGCAGATGGGACCCTTGGTGCTGGTCCCAGCAGTCTGGCCCTCAGGAGGCTGCAGGCTTCTGACCGTCCCACTAGAGCCACTTCGGTTTTGTGCTCTTTTTCCCCTCTCTCCTCTCTCTTTCTCGGTGTAGAGTGGCAGGTCTGCCTGGGATCGGTCCCTGGGAGCCCTGTCCTTCCTTCAGCTCTGCTTATGCCTTTTGCAGCTGGAGAGTGAAATCCAGCGGCTCTCTGAAGCCCATGAGAGCCTGACAAGAGCCTCTTCCAAGCGCGAGGCCCTGGAGAAGACCATGCGGAATAAGATGGACAGTGAAATGAGGCGGTTGCAGGACTTCAACCGCGATCTTCGAGGTGAGAGCTGGGCACATGGTGCGAGAGCTGGGAGCATCTGCCGAGCTTTGCTGTTCTAGGGGAAAATCCCAAGTCTCTGTTCTCTGCAAACATAAGTGCAAATTGACTCCGAGGCCAAGCTAAGACTCTTTAGAAGACACCCTGATGGAAAGATCCTTGTCTGTGTCCTGGGCCTTGGAGCACGGCATGGAGCCCACAATGTGTGGCCTCCACAGGGTGTGTTTCCTCCTGGGTGACCGAGCTTGGTCTCCCTATGAGCCTACCTCCAGTTCAGAGGGAGCAGCCCCATCAGTAGGGCCCCAGGGAAGACCCCAGGCAGGCAATGTTGCCAGACACTAAAACATCTGCCCTTCATTTGTAACAGAGAGATTGGAATCTGCAAACCGCCGCCTGGCAAGCAAGACACAGGAGGCCCAGGCGGGCAGTCAAGACATGGTGGCCAAGCTGCTTGCTCAGAGTGAGTAGGGGTCGTGTGGAGAAGCCTGGCCTGGTGTGCAGATAATGAGACCACAGTGGCCCCTCTGGATGGGGGTGGCCCTCTCCCTTGGAAAGTAGTACTTTAGGCAGAGCCCAGCACCAGACTAGACCTCAGGGGAGGGGTGGCTTCCAAAGAGGAGTAAGGTCTGGTTCTATATTTATCAGGAAGAGCAGTTGATACACGCGGGGGAGCTGTGCACAGTGATTTGCTGAGCTGTGACACTGACCATCAGTGCAGGGTTTCTGCTGCAGAAGAGCATGGGGTGGGGGGAGCCCTGAGCCAGGAGAATGAAGAATCAGAGTTTTCTGGGGAGTCCAGACAACAGAAAGGCTGAACATGGGAATGTGAGAAGTGGGGAAGTCTGGTGGAGCTGGGCCATAGCAAAGCTGCCAACAATCTAAAGAAGGGGCTCGGGGGGCTTCTCTGAAGGAGGGGTGTGGTCTTCCTTGAAGGATAGATGAGTTTGCTGTCTGGTCCACTCCTTCCTCCCTCTTTCCTTCATCTGTTTGTATTAAAATTGGGCTAAGCACCTGGCAGGGATTTGAGCAGAGGGAGAGAACAGGTCCAGGAAGTGGAAGGAAGGTCGGGAAGGTGGGAATGAGCTTGAAGCAGAAGCCTGAGCTCAAGGGTGTGCATGATCCCAGAGACTGGTACTGGGGAGGTCCCTGGCGGGGAGGTGGGGGACAGCAGGGATGGAGATGCAGTTAGATGGCACCAGTGAGGGTACATGGAGGGGCTGGGGGCACAGAGGGAACCTGAGCTCAGCAGCAGGCGAAGCTCAGTCTCACGGGGATGGGAACGGTTGGTTTCTGGGTCAGGTGGCTTTAGGAATGAACCCATCAGAAACCCTACTGTCGGAGAGCATGAGTGCCCAGAAGCGGCATGAGGGCCAAGTCTGGCCGGCAGCACCCCTCTTCCTTGCAAGAGGACTCAGCCCTGGACAGAGCCTCCACCAGTACCTGCTGGGGTTGGGAATGGGGAAACAAAGGCCAAGCCGACTGACCAGGTTGGCAGGAGGTAGGCCAGCCTGTACTGGCCTGGCTGAGTGAGGTTCCCACCCCCACCCCCATGTCAGGGTCCCTGAAAGGGACGGTGGGGGGCAGTGCAGCTCTGGGGGTTACCTCGGGGATCTGGAGAGCTGGAGCTGGTAGGCGAGGCAGGTGGGGGTGCTTTTTGGGGGAGGCTTTTAGGGCCTGGCTGCCAAAGAAAGGAAATGGGGGGGGCGGTTTCTGGAAGCCTGCGAATGGGAGAGGAGGGGGGCCGGCCAGGCGGCGTTTCCGCTCCCTGGGGAGCAAGCGAGCGCCAGGCTGTTCTTGGCTTCTCGCTGGGGCCATTAATCTCTCAGGCAGCCGCGGGTGACCTGAATGCCGAGCATTCCTGAGCCGCCCGGCTGTTCCGCTCCCGGCCAGCCTCCCGCCGCGAGCGCTGCAGCCTGGCGCCCTTCGGCCGCGAGCTCCGGGAGGAGGAGGCCCGGCAAGCACTGGGGCAGAAGGGCGGGAGAGCGGGCATTGCCCTGACCCTTCGGCGGGCGCATTCCTCACTAGCCCCTTACACGCCTTCCTGAGGCTGCCTACTGGCAGCAGCCCCACGGTTTTCTTAGGTGCTCGAGGCCCCCAAGGCCCCGCCTCCCAGCTCAAGGCCAGGGCCCCTTAGAGGCTGTACAAAGCTGCAGGAAATTTCTGGAAGCAGAAGGCTGGGTCCCCTGGCCCCGCCACGCCAAGGAGTAAGGGAGCCCCAGCAGTTTTGCAGGAGAACGTCTGGCTGACCTTTTCCGTTCATGGTGCCTGGCAGCCCTGGTTCAGAGTGTGGCCCTCTGGGAATCCTGAAGCCTGGCAGCTCTCTGCACCCCCCTTGTCTTCTCACCAGAGCCTCAGGTCCCGGACTGTAAGATAGGACAGTGCCCTAACTCCTGGTCATGCTGAGGCTGGGATTCTAAACTGTAGGGAGCACCTCTATGAGTCCACCTGCGTCCAAAGCTGCCCGCTTCCTCCCCGACTGACCAAATGTAAGGGATCCATTTCTTTATCATTGTTCTCCCACGCCTTTTCCCTCCATGCCCCAGAATGAAGCAGCCAGCTTCAGAATTCCGGAGTAAGCCAGGGTTGCCTCTATGCCCTCCGTTTCCTGCCCTGAGTCAGTGAATGCCCTTTCTGTGTGCTGAGGGTGCTGTTCAGTGTGACAGGTTCACACATGGCCCAAAGATTAAAATAAACAGCGTTCAGTTCCTCCGCCCTGCCGCATTTCAAGTGCCCAGTAGTAGCCAGTGGCTACTGCTTAGACGGCACAGTGTAAAATCATTCCACTGTAACAAAAGTCTACCGGGTCAGAGCGCTGCTCCAGAGACAGGTCCAGTAGGCTCACCTCACAGCCTGTCCTTTCCTTCCCTCTAGCAGAGTAGCCAGCCACTCCTCAGGGGACCAGTCTGAGACTTCCAAAAGGCAGGGCACAGGGATGAGTTAGCCTAGAGCTTGGGCTGAAGACCTTGTGATTTAGCCCAGCTATTTGGAGAGGTTCTCTAAGCACTAAGCAGAGTGTTCCCCCAGGCAGTTTTGTTTTTTGTTTTTTGTTTTTTTTTGTTTTGGTGACAAGATCTCAATGAGGTAGTTCAGGGTGGCCTTGACCTCACTATGTAGCCCAGGCTGGCCTCAAACTCACCAAGACTCTCCTGCCTCAGCCTCCTGAGTGCTGGGGGGATTACAAGGTATGCCACCACACACAGCTTGCCACAGGGCAGTTAACAAGATGATTTAAAAGTCAGGAAAACTGGAATCCCAGACACAGATCTTTGGGCCAGAGTCATTTTGAGTGTGCTGTGGAGCTTGCATTCCTTTATGAGCTTGGTTGCCTACATCTAGATTCCAGACCATAAACAGAAGTGTGGCACTTAACCTGGAAAGCCTGGGTTTGCAGAATAAAGCCTGGGGCACACGTTGGGAGGGAGGCCTGTAGGGGTAAGGGGCCCGCACTACCGCCAGACGGCCTGGGCCTTTAGAATCAGGCCTACTTCCGTTCCCATTTGGCAGCACTGTTCTCATGTTCCTTTCTTCTCGTGTCCGTGGTGGACACAAATCCTACCTGGAGAGGCTGGAGGCGTCAGTGAAATAAGATGTGGGGCAGCAGATGGTACTTTTCTCTTCCTTCCTTATCCTTCGGCTCAACACTGGCCGTGTCACAGTCCCCCTGAACTTTCAGTTTCTCATCTATAAATGGGAGTCACAGTGCTCCTTGACCAGTCTCAGGCAGGGAGCATCTCAGTCATCCAAGCTCAAGGGAAACAGTGGCTGTGTGTTGGAGATGGTGACATCTGGCACAATTAGAAGTGTCCCAGCAGAGAGGTGGTGTGGCATAGTTGTTACCTCAAGGGTCCTGTCACCCTGCCTTTTCCTCCTCTCCTGTGAAATAGGGTTGATCGCTGTAGCTAGCTCCTAGGCTTCTAGAGAGTGAGGAGTTGTCAACAGCCTAACAGGCAGTGGGGCCAGCGAGGGCAGTCACTGTCACTGACAGGGCCCCTCTCCTACCTGCAGGCTACGAGCAGCAGCAGGAGCAGGAGAAGCTGGAGCGTGAGATGGCCCTGCTGCGCGGTGGTATTGAGGACCAGCGGCGACGGGCTGAGCTGCTGGAGCAGGCTCTGGGCAACGCACAGGCCCGCGCAGCACGGGCGGAGGAGGAGCTACGCAAGAAACAGGCCTATGTGGAGAAGGTGGAGCGGCTGCAGCAGGCCCTGGGGCAGCTGCAGGCCGCCTGTGAGAAGCGAGAGCAGCTGGAGCTGCGTCTTCGGACCCGCCTGGAGCAGGAGCTGAAGGCCCTGCGTGCACAGCAGGTGAGCTGAGCAGGCCTGTGAGGGAGGTAGAGCTGGAGCAGCATCAGAGGGCCCGCTCTGAGGATTCGGGGAGCCCCTGTCAGACCTAGGGCAATTGATCTGCATCCCACCTCTGCTGCATGCCTCTGCATGTTCACCCAGTTATCACAGCAGAGACTCTGCCACTCAGCCTGTATCTAGGCTTGGGAGTCACCTGTCCTCAGCAATAACACAGGCTGGCATCCTGGATACGTAGAAGCTGCTATTAACTTTCATATAGAAGACTGGCCACCTTCCTACCTGCCCAAGATAGGAAGGAAGTTAGTCCTGAGTCTTTATCTTCCCTTGGGCTTCTGTCTAGGCATCTCTCAGTGTTTACAAACCAGATAGTTCTGTCTCTACTCCCATCCTTACCCTTCCCACAGAGGTAGTTATTGATAGCACGCCTGTTCCAGTCCAGCGAATTTATTATATAGTCCCCTGTGTCCGCGAGGACCCATGGCCACCTCACCCCAACCTCCGCCTTGATGTGATGCTCCTTGTTCTGCAGAGACAGGCGGGCACCCCCAGTGGGGGCAACAGCAATGGTGGGTCCCCAGAGCTCAGTGCCCTTCGACTGTCAGAACAACTTCGGGAGAAGGAGGAGCAGATCCTGGCGCTGGAGGCTGACATGACCAAGTGGGAGCAGAAGTATTTGGAGGAGCGCGCCATGCGACAGTTTGCCATGGATGCAGCTGCCACTGCAGCCGCCCAGCGTGACACCACTCTCATCCGACACTCCCCCCAGCCCTCGCCCAGCAGCAGCTTCAATGAGGGACTACTCACCGGGGGTCACAGGCATCAGGAGATGGAAAGCAGGTTTGGCATTGCAGGCGGGCCGGGGCACCTAAGACACAGTGTCCAGTCTCTGCTCTGTCCTTGATCCCTGGTAAACAGGACCCTGTCCCCACTCAGCTCAGCAGTCCCTCTGCTTCTAAGATGCCCTTGCATGTTATAAGCACAGACTCTGGTTGTGCAGGTGCTGGGGCATCCAGGCTCTGCACCCCATCCCCAGTGTAGCCCTCCAAGTTGAGGGTCATATCCCTGCTGTCTTTCATCAATGAGATTAGATCCCGCCCCTGCTGACCTTCTTAAGCAACGTGAGAAGGGCCCAGCACCTCATGTGCCAGGCTCTGAGAGCATCAGCTCTACCCCAAGTCTGCACTGTAAGGGCAAGGAGGTCCGACCTGGCCTCAGGGAGGGCTTTCTGTCAACTTGTACAAGGTAGGGAGGGTGGAGGCACTGACTCTGTGGATCTGACCATATGGGCATGGTCTCCTTCGTCAGGCTAAAGGTGCTCCATGCCCAGATCCTGGAGAAGGATGCTGTGATCAAGGTCCTTCAGCAGCGCTCCAGGAAGGACCCTGGCAAGGCTGCCCAGGGCTTCCTGCGGCCAGCCAAGTCGGTGCCATCCATCTTTCCAGCTGCGGCGGCAGGGACCCAGGGCTGGCAAGGACTCTCATCACGTGAGCAGCAAGCAGATTCACCTGCCCGGCTGATGATGGGTAAGAAGAGGCTGGTAGTGTGGACAGAGACGAGTTGTTCTTGGGCATGGGCGCAGAACACCAGGCCTTTCCTCCCAGAACCAAGGCTCCTAGGAGCCAGAACTTCCTGACTCCTCAGCAGACTGGCTTTAGCTCTGGCTCAAGGCCTGACACCTACGATGTCTTGCCTGGTGGCGAGGAGTGTCAGCCCTGTCTCCATGCATTCCATCACCATAGGCCCCAGCCACCAACTTTCCAAGTGAAATGGAACTCTCTGTACAGATACACCTTCTAGGAAAGGCTTCTCCGCTCTTCTAAGTGGATACCACAGAAATCCTAGATTTCACCAACATAGAAGTGTTCCACCACTCAAAATACTTGGAAACTAATGCAACCCGATAGTTACTCCCTTTTGAAAATGGAAGCATTAGCTGGTTGTGGTGTCGTATGTCTGTGGTCCCGGCTACTCAGGAAGCTGAGGCAGGAGTTTAAGGCCAGCCTGGGCAACCCGCAAGACCATGTCTCAAAGTTAAAAAAAAAAAAGGCTAGGATATAGCTCAGTGTTCCCTGGGTTCATTCTCCAGTACAAGGGGCTGGGATAGGGGGACAGAAGCATTTAGCTTTAACAGAGTTGTTGCAGGTCGAGAGGTGCCCAGTAGGTCCAGTTCACTGGGTTATTCTTCATCGGGGCGCCGTCTTGTAAGCCAGGCATTAACCACCAGTCTCCTGCCTTTCCTACAGAGAGGACACCCATGGAGGAGCCGGTGGCCGTGGCTCTCCTCCCTGCCCACTCCAAACACGGGAGCAGAGACGGAAGCACTCAGACCGATGGCCCTGCAGAGAGCACCTCTGCTTACCTGGTGTCAGAGCCCGACAGCCTTCCGGGCTGCAGCAGTGGCCAGAGGGCAGCCTCTCTGGGTGAGCCCCCACTTCCTCCTGGCTTCTGCGCTGGGCCATCTGTGGGTGTGCTGGGGTGTGAGGTGGGACCCCACGGCCCCTTCTCCCCAAACCCTTCCTGATCACTGCTCAGCCTTAATGGCGAGCTCTGCATGGTGAGGGATGAGGAGAGGTCTGGCTGACCCCAGTGTAAGCATGAGGGCTGTTGGTGAATATGTAGAGGAATTGGAAACCCCTAATCAAGACAGAGTCCAAATTGAGAAGCACAGCGGCCCAGTGGAAAGCACCGCCTCCTCCTCCATCTCTCCTCCCATACTTCATTGCCAGTCTGCATACCTAAGATGCTGGTTCTTGTGCAGTCATCCTGATGGCACTCACGAGGTGGGGGAATGTTTAAAAGAAGGAGCCGAGAAGGAGAAACTTGAGAAGACACCCTTTCTTCTTCTGCTCCCCTTTCACATTAGCCTCCGCATATTTGCCTGGGCCTCATGATCTCAGAAAGCCACAAGCATGAAAAGAATGCTGCAGCTTCTCTCCCTCTGGGCTCTCCATGGCTTCCTTTCAGCCCTCTAACCAGTCCAAAATCACAAACACGTCATCCGCACTAGAGGGTGGTCCGTCCCAAGCCTTGAGAAAAGCAGGGCATTGTGCTTGGTTGACCAAACTGTGGGAACCTGGGCAGCCAAGTGGAGAAGATCTGGTGAAGGTCTTTGTTACAAAAATTCTTAAAGGGCAAGATTTTAAAAGAGCCATCTAGTGACACTCATGGCATGTACCTGTTTTCTTTCTCTCTCCAGACTCTATAGCTTCATCCAGAGTCCAGGACTTGTCAGATATGGTGGAGATACTGATCTAAAGGAGGCGGTTCCTTGGGGACCCTGGATCATGCCCTCCCCTCCTCTGCCACTCGGCCATTCCAGCAGCCCCCAACTGCAGCTTCCCTACTTTCCCCAGCCTTTGACCATCCAGTCCCAGGAGCTCAGGAGGGAGTGCTGCAGGGGAGAGGTGCTGCTGAGAGACCAGCACCCCAGCAGATTCCACTTAAGCTACATTCCACCCGTGCCCATGGAGAATGCAGATCCCCTCTATACCTGCTGCTGGGATAGCAAAAGAAAGCCCAGAAGGTGTCTGAGCGCCCTCTGCCCTGCCAGTCGCCATTTAGGCAAGGAGGCAGAGGGGATGTGTTGGCTTGGGCAGCTGATTCCCAAGGATGGTTGTCCATGGGCACCAAGTTGGGTAGCCAGCCATGGTTTTCTCTGGCTAAGTTTGTGTCTAGCCAACCTCATCTGTTCTTCAGCTCCTCACTGCCTTCTTGGGAACACAAGACTTGAATCTTTTAGGGACTGTCGAGGGTGTGAATCTTGCAGAAGTCACAGCTTCACTCCTCATTTGGAATAGGTTGGGGGCCATTCAAGTGGACTGGGGGACAATGTGTGGTTTGTATATAATTCCCTTTCTTATGGAACAGAAGACTGCAGCATCTTGGTCCAGGTTGGTCTTCATGGGCTGTGCTCATTGTCTCTGCTACCATGGTTCCCAAAATTTCTGACTGGCTTCCCAGTTACTCTTCCTTCTCAAGTTCTTGGTCCGTGGAGTTGGATGTAGGCTGATACACAGGGTGTTGGTTCTTTTTGTCCATCAGACCCTGTCTTAAATGCCTAGAGGATCTCCAGCCTTTTGAAGCTTCTGTCCCTGGGACATCCTGTCATTTTGATTATAAACTCTGAGCCAGATGAAATGAGCCACCATACACAGACATCTGCGACGCCCACCTGTGCACATGGGTGACCTTGCCCAGCACTAGTTCTCTCTGAGGAAACTGGAGAAGTTGTCTTGTTCTCATAAATGTCTTTGTTCCCACCTGGAGGGTCTGGAACACTGATGTTGAAAACTAGTCAATGAGACAAGATGTCAATTGTCCTCTGAGTGGAGTCTGTATCACAAAGTAGCCCCGTGAGGCTGGCTCCTCAAGCTACCCATCCCCAGCCCGGAACCCAGGCCAGACCCTTGGAACTAAGGTGATCCCACCTGGCAGCCTACAGCAGCAGTGACTTTGACTTCTGGTCTTAAAGTGCCCCAGTTAAGCCCAGGAGCAATTGGTGGGTTTTAGCAGCTTTGTCCTTACTATTTCTAGTTTTTCTCAACTCTTTGTTGTTGTGTTTTTTTCTTCACTGTTTTTAGATTCAATATGTGTTGTTTTATTCCCATGGTTCCCTGAATTTCCTTTTTAAACATTTGCATTTGCTGGCCAATTGCATATTTTTTTAAATTCCCCCTACCTCTGTTTAAAGCTGAAAAATACACTTGGTTCATGTGCATTGTTTACAAAGCAAAAAAGGAAAAAAAAAGGCAAAAAAATATTGTGAAAGGTAAAAAAAAAAAAAAAACAACTTAATATATTTTGGATTAATATTTGGTATTTCTTTTAAAGTATTTTTTGTGCTGTGAACGTTTTCTGCCAAAGACCATGATGTGTGTCTATGTGTTTAAGTTATCATAAATATTTAAAATGTAAACATGGCTGTTTTATTATGCCACCCTGTACCAGGATTGCTGCTGCATTCCACTGGGTATAACAGTATTTTAATAAAAAAAATTATTAAGAGTGGTGTCTTTGCGGGGGTAAGACTTGTGGAACTGACAGAAGGAAAGAGGGTGAGGATCATAGTCCAATCTCTTCAAGGGCCCGAAACACTACAGCCCTAGGCATTTGTGAAGAGCTGGAATGAGAGTATGGTTGCTTTTTTTTCTATTTTTGCAGAAAACATTTCTCAAAGTTAGGAGAGAAGAGGTATGGTAAATAACAGCCTCCCAGCCTCATCAACTTTGGCTACTCCATAGTGTGAGTGGATGTTCAAACATGCCGTTATCCTTACCCTGATCCTCTGCATCCCCAGCAGAGACTTTTGCCTTGACCTCTCAAGCAATGAGGCACCATGCCTATTCTGCCTAAACAAGTGCAGAGGACATCAAGTGCGTGGCATGTTCTTGGACACCATCTCCTTGGCTATAGCATCACTACTCTTTCCTGATGCTTAGGAAGGTACATCGCTCCAATTTAAAGGATAAAATGATTCTCAGTCTCCCCACATCTCCATCAGGATTTGAGGGACAGTCAGAAAACTGACCATCAGGCAGCCAGACAGGCTGTGGGGCAAGTATTCACAAATGACCCGTATGACCATAGGCAAGCATCCTCAGAGCAGCAGCCATGCTACCGAGTGAACAAACTGGGATCCCAGAGAGGGCATCTCCTGTGACTACTTGCCCACAGAAGTGGAGGCTGACAGGTGAAAGACTTCCAGCAGCTTTGCAGATGACAGTGGGCCCTACTGAGTGGGGAGCTCAGCCAGCGCCCAGCCTCCCTCCTGCAACCTTGGCAGTTCTGCTGAGCCCTGGACTACGGGTTCAGCTGAGATGCAAGATGGCTCCTGGAGGCAGCCTGAACCCTCTAGGCTCTTGTTCCTGTTTCCTACTGGTCCTCCACTAGGACTTGGTGTCCAAAACAAAGTGCAGTGCCTATGGCAGTGGAGTCCAAAAAGCAGGAGGTAGCAGACGTTCCTGTTCAGCTTCACCTGACCCCTGAGAGCTCTGAGGGAGAAGAGCATCACAGACACAGGAGCAGTAAACTGACAAGAGCTCCACCCCACTCCAGCACTTGGCCTTTTGCGTTCTCTGCATTCGGTGCTGTTCAGCTTACCCAGCCACCTCAATGTATTTCCTGGGCACAGAACAGGATGTGAGGAACTTGATTCCATTGTAACCTACATGTGTACATGTTTGCATATTTGTGTGTGCACGTGCCTCACCATATGTCCCAGAAAAGATTTGAGGGGTACCACTATGTCCTGGCCAGTGTCCCTCCAGGGCACAGGGGCTCTTCAGCCACCTGTGACGCAGTGGGTCATCTGAAGAAAATACTGAGCTGGCTGCTCCGTGCACTTGGAAATGCAGTCTAACCATGCTCCAGAACTGGTAGAGCTGTAGACTGGCAGGACGGGACAGGCCCTGGCAAGGGAGGTGTTCATCCCAGGTGTCTGGACACCTGTGAAGGGATGGGGCCCAAGCCAGAGCCTGGATGGCTCAGCTGAACCCTTTGAAGGCCAAGTTCCTCCCTGGGCGAAGAGGAAGCAGCCCTAGCCTGCCCGCTCTGCCTTCACCCAGTACTGCCACCAAGAGGGCTGGGGGTGTGTGAGGGCAGCCCGTGAGTGCTGAGTGCTGCCCCAGCCTCTTTCCTTTCTCTCACCTCCTGGTTAATTGTTAATTTGTCCCCTGGCTTGCGCAAGGGGCAGGCTCCTAGAGCTTGTTAAAAATATGCCAAGATAAGGGCAGCAAATCAGTGCCCAATCACCCAGAGATAACCAAAGCCACTTCACTGCCCCCAAGGACTGCAGCTGCCTTCTCTCCCAGCACAAGCAAATACTTGTCCCTGAACAGCCCTTGACACATGTAACTGAGCTCTCTGGAGGCAGTGCAGAAACCCCAGCCACACACAGTGCCTTCCTGGACCCACCATGCCTGGATGCAACACCTATGAAAAGTGCCATAGCATCAGAGCTCTCTGCATCCTCTTGAAAAATGAGATAGGATTCACATGCCATAGAGTCACCCTTCTCAAATGTGCGATTGATTGAGTAGTAGTTCATATCACAGCAGCCCTTTAAGCCAGTGACCAATTATGGGTCACCACCAAATGCCCCCAGTGGGTCATATGTACATCGTTCTCAGTGATATCTGACCCGGGGCATTCACACTTGCTGCACTGCCATTTCCTAGAGTGACACTTTGAACACGCTTTCTGCAGCTGCAGTCTTCTTCCACCTGCCTGGGGCCCAGTGGCTCTGGTGCATCTCTGCTGGGGCTGCAGGGAGAACATCGTGTGTTCTGACCTGAAGCCCTCCACTATCCGGCTCCCAGGGCTGCTGGGCAAGGGTCTTGATCAGAAGTTTGGAAAGGAGGCCAATGAACCCAGAGCCCCAAGATACCCACTATCTGTTCATAGTCTTTCAGAGTCAAGGATCGCAGGGGTGGGTCCAGCTTTGTGAGGCC